GGGTCAGCAGGGCAGAGGATGGGAGGTCAGAAAGGGAGTGTACAAGAGTCAGTGGGACAGTATATAGGTTTTCAGTAGGGCACAGGATAGGGGTCAGAAGGGCAGAGGATGGGAGGTCAGCAGGGGAGTGTACAAGAGTCAGTGGTACAGAATATAGGGGGTTAGTAGGGCAGAGGATGGGAGGTCAGCAGGGGAGTGTACAAGAGTCAGTGGTACAGAATATAGGGGTTCAGTAGGGCACAGAATAGGGGTCAGCAGGGCAGAGGATGGGAGGTCAGCAGGGGAATGTACAAGAGTCAGTGAGACAGTATATAGGTGTTCAGTAGGGCACAGGATATGGGTCAGCAGGGGCAGAGGATGGGAGGTCAGCAGGGGAATGTACAAGAGTCAGTGGGACACTATATAGGGGTTCAGTAGGGCACAGAATAGGGGTCAGCAGGGCAGAGGATGGGAGGTCAGCAGGGGAATGTACAAGAGTCAGTGAGACAGTATATAGGTGTTCAGTAGGGCACAGGATAGGGGTCAGCAGGGCAGAGGATGGGAGGTCAGCAGGGGAATGTACAAGAGTCAGTGGGACAGTATATAGGGGTTCAGTAGGGCACAGGATAGGGGTCAGCAGGGCAGAGGATGGGAGGTCAGCAGGGGAGTGTACAAGAGTCAGTAGGGCAGTATAAGTAATCTTAAGTGGCCATACACCAGCAGTAACCAATCTCAAACCGATCAAATTATAATGTAATAAGCTACAATAATAGTCCCAACTCCAAAAGGAATTTCCAATTTCAGGATCCAAGTGAGCTTCACACTCTTTAAAAGCATCCAACACATTTATTTGTGTGACAAGCCAAATATAAAGTCTTACCAGACTACAGTGACAGTTAAAATAAAATGGTCTTAAGCATTTCATGCAATAATTATTACCAGACTTCGATACCAGCTATCAGAAAGTGTTCACAGCCACCCAGGATAAAAGACAGAAAAAAAACACAAGCAAAGTGTAATATGTTTAAATACAACTGCTTTATTAAAACTAAAGTGTGCACTAAAAATCCACAATATCGCTTTAATCCATGTAAACAGGCAGATTCTCCAAAGCTAATCTATCATCAATACCTGTGCGTGATGACGTCACGTCATGGCCACGGCGTCCCTACAGAAGTGAGTTTGCTGGGCTTGTCTGTGTTGGCCACCATGGATGCTGTGATCCCCAGCGTTCCTCCAGACGTTCCCGAGCCGCATGCCAAACTCTCTGGGGCTGTTGGTTGGATATCCCTGATCTACATAGTGAGCACAGAGAGTTTGAGAGAACTGTCTGGAGAAGAAACAGACAGGGGCCCTAAGTCTAAGGGCCAGAGCACCAGGGGATACAAGAAAAAGCCAGGAGGCTGAAGAAAGCATTGATTGTTCGCAGGGCCATTTTTAATATTGATTAGACCCTGGGCAAACATTTTCTTGCACCCCCCCCCCCATGCAAATTTCACTCTCACATTAAACAGGACCCTCTCCCCCATACTCTCCCCATCATTACACAGGAGCCTCTCCCCCATACTACTGTCATCATTACACAGGACCCCTCCCCCAAACTGCCCCCATCATTACACAGCCCCCCCATGCTATCCCATCATTACACAGGACCCTTCCTCCGTACTGCCTCCATCATTACACTAGACCCCCTTCCCCATACTACCCCCATCATTATACAGGACCCCCTTCCCCATACTGCCCCCATAATTTCACATGATCCCTCTCCCATACTACCCCCATCATTACACGGGACCCCCTCCCCTATCCTGCCCCCATCATTACACAGCCCCCCCATGCTACCCCATCATTACACAGGACCCCTCCCCCCTACTACCTCCATCATTACACTGGACCCCCTTCCCCATACTACCCTCATCATTACACAGGACCCCTCCCCCATACTACCCCCATCATTATATAGGACCCCCTCCTCCATACTGCCCCCATAATTTCACATGATCCCATCCATACTACCCCCATCATTACACAGGACCCCCTCCCCTATACTACCCCCATCATTACACAGTACCCTCTCCATCATGGTACCCCCTATGATTACACAGGACCCCCTCCTTCATACTGGTAGTGTAGTGACTATGTTGCTTATTGTCACAGTTGGCACTGCCTGCTGCTATACAGAGAGGGTCCGGGAATCCAAGTTTGGCTATGGAGCCCCGTGGTTTGTAGTGACCCCCTGTTCAGGCCATGTAGAGTCACACTTAGCACCTGACCTCTAATGGTCTCTAATAGCCCGTAATAAGAGAGCCTCCCCAACGTCACATGCTGCTTCTGTCTCATAGCATCTTCCAACGCACTCATGTGAAAAGCCATTCATCATTCTGCCCTTTTCAAGATAGCCCCTGTAAACAAACATTTGCATCCAGCTTATCTCTACACTAGAAAATCCATTGGTACACCAGTGATATCAACAACTTGTCTGTCTGTGTATCCAGACATTATACCGTGTGTAGCGCCACCCCTGTAGGGGCCGCTGGCAATAACTGGTTCTTCCCTAAAAGTACAGAGGCCAACGCAAGCACTAGTCCATTCACACCAGATCCAGGAGAAGACTTTTTAGTATTAAATGCTTCAAGAAACCTTTAAAAAGAGAGGGGTTTAGGGTAAAAACAATCAATAGCAATAATGGGAGGACAAACCTCCCACTAATCTTCTAATAGCAGCCTTTCCTGGAGGTAACAGGGAATGGCCAGTATATCTAGGACTCTACCCCAGTCCATGTAGGAACCTCTGGCAATTTAGATCCCTTCTAGCGCTAGCACCCAAAATCCACAGCAAGGTCTTTACTTACAATGTTCTTGGAGCCAGGGGCGGACTGACCATTTGGAAACTCGGGCACCATGAGTAGGGGGCCCCATGAGATGCCCCTGGTACCTTTTTCATAGGCTTTTTTGAGTTTGGGCAAGGACACAGGGGCCCCATGATTGCCTATTGCCCGGGGGCCCCGTGAGTTGTCAGTCCGCCCCTGCTTGGAGCTGTCTGACACCAAGCCTCCATAGGTGAGGGAGATAAAAAGATCCTTCTCCAGACCAGGACTTCAGAACAGTGTCCTCCAGCGAATATTCCTTTAGCAGTCCTGCTGTGACCGAGACTGCAATCTCTTGTTTCAGAACCTCTGTCCTAGAGACAGTAGCCCCCCACAGGAGACTGTATTCCTCCCTGAAGAGGAAATACACTTATCCAGAGCTTCCCAAACATTTATCACCTTCCCAACCACCTTCTGGGCGCTTCCTTCCAGGGATTGGCTGGGGCATGATAAATATTCATATTGATCATCTGCAACTCCCTGCTCTTCTGGAAATGTCTTCTGAAGACAGGTGGGAGAAATCAAACACCCAGCTTAGGAAAACTTGAACAGACAAAAACAACAATCAATCAATCAATCAATCACTGCTCCACTCACTACAGTGAAGACAAAAACTACATTTACCTAACGGCCTAACTTGGAGGGTGCAACACGAGCAAACGGGCCCATTCACTATCCAGAAACCAGGACTCTGTATAGTGCAAGCAGACCTATTCCATCTTCCCCACTCTTCCATCATGGGTCATGAGATCTACAGCTCAGGTGGGAGAATCTGTCCACAGGACAACTATTAGTCGTGCACTCCACAAATCTGGCCTTTATGGAAGAGTGACAAGAGGAAAGCCATTGTTGGAGGAAAGCCATAAGAAGTCCCGTTTACAGTCTGCGAGAAGCCATGTGGGGGACACAGCAAACGTGAAAGAAGGAGCTCTGGTCAGATGAGACCAACATTGAACTTTTTGGCCTAAAAGCAAAACCCTATGTGTGGTGGAAAACTAACACTGCACATCACCCTGAACACACCATCCCCACCGTGAAACATGGTGGTGGCAGTATCATATTGTGGGGATGCTTTTCTTCAGCAGAGACAGGGAAGTTGGTCAGAATTGATAGGAAGATGGATGGAGCCAAATACAGGGCACTCTTAGAAGAAAACCTGTTAGAGTCTGCAGAAGATGAGAGACCGGGGTGGAGGTTCTCCTTCCAGCAGGACAACGACCCGAAACATCCAGCCAGAGCTACAATGGAATGGTTCAGATCAAAGCATCTTCATGTGTTAGACTGGCCCAGTCACAGTCCAGACCTAAATCCAATGGAGAATCTATGGCAAGACTTGAAAATTGCTGTTCCCAGACGCTCTCCATCCAATCTGACAGCTTGAACAATTCTGCAAAGAAGAATGGGAAGAAATGTCCCTCTCTAGATGTGCAAAGAGACATCCCCAAAAAGACTTGCAGCTGGAATTGCAGCCAAAGGGGGTCCTACAAACTATTGACTCCGGGGGGCTGCATACAAATGCCACCACCACACTTTTCACAGATTTATTTGTAAAAAATGTTGGAACCATTTCTCATTTTTCTTTCCACTTCACAATGTTGGTCCATCACATCCAATCCCAATAAAATACATTGATGGTTTTGGTTGTAACATGAAAACATGGGGAACATTTCAAGGGGGAGGAAGACTTTTCAAGGCACATGTAAATATTGAGGGGCCATTCACACTAGAGTTCCAGAATGCATGAATGTGCACTGCCTTATTCATAGACCAAAATTCATTATGAATGGACTGCCAATACACCACAATGGATAAAAGAAAACGTACATGACCCTTCTTCAGCAATACAGCACACACCACAACGCACAGTTTGTATGATGTGTTGCAGTACATTGCTCTACTGTATAGTGCAAGGAGTTCCATTCACAATGAATGGCACCACAATGCATCGTAAATAGAGCAGGTGCATTGCAGAAATGTGCTAATTAGAATGCGGTGCCACAATGTACAAATGTGTTTGATTTATCATGCAGCTCAAAAGCCTTAAAGTGTTACTAAACCGCGGAACTCCCGGACCCTGCATTCACTATATCCGCTCTCCCCGGACCCCGCATTCACTATATCCGCTCTCCCCGGACCCCGCATTCACTATATCCGCTCTCCCCGGACCCCGTATTCACTATATCCGCTCTCCCCAGACTCTGCATTCACTATATCCGCTCTCCCCGGACCCCGCATTCACTATATCCGCTCTCTCCCGGACCCCGCATTCACTATATCCGCTCTCCCCGGACCCCGCATTCACTATATCCGCTCTCCCCGGACCCCGCATTCACTATATCCGCTCTCCCCGGACCCCGCATTCACTATATCCGCTCTCCCCGGACCCCGCATTCACTATATCCGGTCTCCCCGGACCCTGCATTCACTATATCCGGTCTCCCTGAACCCTGCATTCACTATATCCGCTCTCCTCGGACCCCGCATTCACTATATCCGCTCTCCCCGGACCCTGCATTCACTATATCCGCTCTCCCCGGACCCTGCATTCACTATATCCGGTCTCCCTGGACCCCGCATTCACTATATCCGCTCTCCCCGGACCCCGCATTCACTATATCCGGTCTCCCAGGACCCTGCATTCACTATATCCGCTCTCCCCGGACCCCGCATTCACTATATCCGCTCTCCCCGGACCCCGCATTCACTATATCCGCTCTCCCCGGACCCCCGCATTCTCTATCAGCCCCCGGACCCCGCATTCACTATATATCCGCTCTCCCGGACCCTGCATTCACTATATCCGCTCTCCCCCGGACCCCGCATTCACTATATCCGCTCTCCCCGGACCCTGCATTCACTATATCCGCTCTCCCGGACCCTGCATTCATCCCGCTATCCCCGGACCCTGCTTTTCACTATATCCGTCTCCCCGGGCCCGCATTCATTATATCCGCTCTCCCCGGACCCGGCATTCACTATATATATATCCGGTCTCCCTGCACCCTGCATTCACTATATTCGCTCTCCCCGGACCCCGCATTCACTCTATCCGCTCTCCTCGGACCCTGCATTCACTATATCCGCTCTCCCCGGACCCCGCATTCACTATATCCGCTCTCCCCCCGACCCGGCATTCACTATATCCGGTCTCCCTGCATTCACTATATCCGGTCTCCCCGGACCCTGCATTCACTATATCCGCTCTCCCCGGACCCTGCATTCACTATATCCGGTCTCTCCCCGGACCCCTGAATTCACTATATCCGCTCTTCCCGGACCCTGCATTCACTATATCCACTCTCCCGGACCCCTGCATTCACTATATCCGCTCTCCCCCGGACCCTGCATTCACTATATCCGCTCTCCCCACACCCCTGCATTCACTATATCTGGTTTCCACGGACCCTGCATTCACTATATCCGCTCTCCCCGGACCCCGCATTCACTATATCCCGGTCTCCCAGGACCCCGCATTCACTATATCCGGTCTCCACGGACCCTGCATTCACTATATCCGCTCTCCCCAGGACCCTGCATTCACTATATCCGGTCTCCCAGGACCCCGCATTCACTATATCCGCTCTCCCAGGACCCTGCATTCACTATATATCCGGTCTCCCTGGACCCTGCATTCACTATATCTGGTCTCCCCGGACCCTGCATTCACTATATCCGGTCTCCCCCACCCTGCATTCACTATTTCTGGTCTCCCAGAACCCTGCATTACTATATCTGGTCTCCCCGGACCCCGCATTCACTATATCCAATCTCCCCGGACCCACGTTCACTATATCCGCTCTCCCCGGACTCCGCATTCACTATATCTGGTCTCCCAGGACTCCGCATTCACTATATCTGGTCTCCCCGGACCCTGCATTCACTATATCCGCTCTCCCCCGACCCTGCATTCACTATATCCGCTCTCCCCGGACCCTGCATTCACTATATCCGGTCTCCCTGGACCCGCATTCACTATATCCGCTCTCCCCGGACCCCGCATTCACTATATCCAGTCTCCCCGGACCCTGCATTCACTATATCTGCTCTCCCGGACCCCGCATTCACTATATCCGCTCTCCCCGGACCCCGCATTCACTATATCCGCTCTCCCCGGACCCCGCATTCACTATAATCCCGGTCCGCTCTCCCCGGACCCCGCATTCACTCTATCCGCTCTCCTCGGACCCTGCATTCACTATATCCGCTCTCTCCCCGGACCCCGCATTCACTATATCCGCTCTCCCCGGACCCTGCATTCACTATTTCCGCTCTCCCCGGACCCTGCATTCACTATATCCGCTCTCCCGGACCCTGCATTCACTATATCCGCTCTCCCCCCGGACCCGGCATTCACTATATCCGGTCTCCCCGCACCCTGCATTCACTATATCCGCTCTCCCCGGACCCTGCATTCACTATATCCGGTCTCCCCGGACCCTGCATTCACTATATCCGGTCTCTCCCCGGACCCTGCATTCACTATATCTGCTCTCCCCGGACCCTGCATTCACTATATCCGCTCTCTCCCGGACCCTGCATTCACTATATCCGCTCTCCTCAGACCCTGCATTCACTACATCCGCTCTCCCCGGACCCTGCATTCACTATATCCGCTCTCCCCACACCCTGCATTCACTATATCTGGTCTCCACGGACCCTGCATTCACTATATCCGCTCTCCCCGGACCCCGCATTCACTATATCTGGTCTCCGGGACCCCCGGGACCCTGCATTCACTATATCCGCTCTCCCCGGACCCCGCATTCACTATATCCGCTCTCCCCGGACCCCGCATTCACTATATCCGCTCTCCCCCGCTCTCCCCGGACCCCGCATTCACTATATCCGCTCTCCCCGGACCCCGCATTCACTATATCCGGTCTCCCCGGACCCTGCATTCACTATATCCGGTCTCCCTGAACCCTGCATTCACTATATCCGCTCTCCTCGGACCCTGCATTCACTATATCCGCTCTCCCCCTGGACCCTGCATTCACTATATCCGCTCTCCCCGGACCCTGCATTCACTATATCCGGTCTCCCTGGACCCTGCATTCACTATATCCGCTCTCCCCGGACCCCGCATTCACTATATCCGGTCTCCCAGGACCCCCCCATGCATTCACTATATCCGCTCTCCCCGGACCCCGCATTCACTATATCCGCTCTCCCCGGACCCCGCATTCACTATATCCGCTCTCCCCGGACCCCGCATTCACTCTATCAGCTCTCCCCGGACCCTGCATTCACTATATCCGCTCTCCCCGGACCCCGCATTCACTATATCCGCTCTCCCCGGACCCTGCATTTCCCTATATCCGGTCTCCCCGGACCCGCATTCATTATATCCGCTCTCCCCGGACCCGGCATTCACTATATCCGGTCTCCCTGCACCCTGCATTCACTATATTCGCTCTCCCCGGACCCCGCATTCACTCTATCCGCTCTCCTCGGACCCTGCATTCACTATATCCGCTCTCCCCGGACCCCGCATTCACTATATCCGCTCTCCCCGGACCCGGCATTCACTATATCCGGTCTCCCTGCATTCACTATATCCGGTCTCCCCGGACCCTGCATTCACTATATCGCTCTCCCCGGACCCTGCATTCACTATATCCGGTCTCCCCGGACCCTGAATTCACTATATCCGCTCTTCCCGGACCCCGCATTCACTATATATCTCTCACTCAGACCCTCCACTACATCCGCTCTCCCCGACCCTGCATTCACTATATCCGCTCTCCCCACACCCTGCATTCACTATATCTGGTTTCCACGGACCCTGCATTCACTATATCCGCTCTCCCCGGACCCCGCATTCACTATATCCGGTCTCCCAGGACCCCGCATTCACTATATCCGGTCTCCACGGACCCTGCATTCACTATATCCGCTCTCCCAGGACCCTGCATTCACTATATCCGGTCTCCCAGGACCCCGCATTCACTATATCCGCTCTCCCAGGGACTCTGCATTCACTATATCCGGTCTCCCTGGACCCTGCATTCACTATATCTGGTCTCCCCGGACCCTGCATTCACTATATCCGGTCTCCCAGACCCTGCATTCACTATTTCTGGTCTCCCAGAACCCTGCATTTACTATATCTGGTCTCCCCGGACCCCGCATTCACTATATCCAATCTCCCCGGACCCCACGTTCACTATATCCGCTCTCCCCGGACCCCGCATTCACTATATCTCTGGTCTCCCAGGACTCCGCACTCACTATATCTGGTCTCCCCGGACCCTGCATTCACTATATCCGCTCTCCCCCGGACCCTGCATTCACTATATCCGCTCTCCCCGGACCCTGCATTCACTATATCCGCTCTCCCCGACCCTGCATTCACTTCACCCTATATTCACCGCTCTCCCCGGACCCCGCATTCACTATATCCAGCTCTCCCAGGACCCTGCATTCACTATATCTGCTCTCCCCCGGACCCCGCATTCACTATATCCGCTCTCCCCGGACCCCGCATTCACTATATCCGGTCTCCCCGGACCCCGCATTCACTATATCCGCTCTCCCCGGACCCCGCATTCACTCTATCCGCTCTCCTCGGACCCTGCATTCACTATATCCGCTCTCCCCGGACCCTGCATTCACTATATCCGCTCTCCCCGGACCCTGCATTCACTATTTCCCTCTCCCCGGACCCTGCATTCACTATATCCGCTCTCCCCCCGGACCCTGCATTCACTATATCCGCTCTCCCCGACCCTGCATTCACTATATCCGCTCTCCCCGGACCCTGCATTCACTATATCCGCTCTCCCCGGACCCTGCATTCACTATATCCGCTCTCCCCGGACCCTGCATTCACTATATCCGGTCTCCCCGGACCCTGCATTCACTATATCCGGTCTCCCCGGACCCTGCATTCACTATATCTGCTCTCCCCGGACCCTGCATTCACTATATCCGCTCTCCCGGACCCTGCATTCACTATATCCGCTCTCCTCAGGACCCTGCATTCACTACATCCGCTCTCCCCGACCCCTGCATTCACTATATCCGCTCTCCCCACACCCTGCATTCACTATATCTGGTCTCCACGGACCCTGCATTCACTATATCCGCTCTCCCGGACCCCGCATTCACTATATCTGGTCTCCCGGGACCCTGCATTCACTATATCCGCTCTCCCCGGACCCCGCATTCACTATATCCGCTCTCCCCAGACCCTGCATTCACTATATCCGGTCTCCACGGACCCTGCATTCACTATATCCGCTCTCCCAGGACCCTGCATTCACTATATCCGGTCTCCCAGGACCCCGCATTCACTATATCCGCTCTCCCGGGACCCTGCATTCACTATATCCGGTCTCCCTGGACCCTGCATTCACTATATCTGGTCTCCCCGGACCCTGCATTCACTATATCCGGTCTCCCCAGACCCTGCATTCACTATTTCTGGTCACCCAGAACCCTGCATTTACTATATCTGGTCTCCCCGGACCCCGCATTCACTATATCCAATCTCCCCGGACCCAGCATTCCTATATCCAGTCCCCCGGACCCCACGTTCACTATATCCGCTCTCCCCGGACCCCGCATTCACTATATCTGGTCTCCCAGGACTCCGCACTCACTATATCTGCTCTCCCCGGACCCTGCATTCACTATATCCGGTCTCCCCGGACCCTGCATTCACTATATCTGGTCTCCCCGGACCCCGCATTCACTATATCTGGTCTCCACGGACCCTGCATTCACTATATCCGGTCTCCCTGGACCCTGCGTTCACTATATCCGCTCTCCCCGGACCCCGCATTCACTATATCCGGTCTCCCAGGACTCCGCATTCACTATATCCGCTCTCCCCGGACCCTGCATTCACTATATCCGGTCTCCCCGGACCCTGCATTCACTATATCTGGTCTCCCTGGACCCTGCATTCACTATATCTGGTCTCCCCGGACCTTGCATTCACTATATCTGGTCTCCACGGACCCTGCATTCACTATATCCGCTCTCCCCGGACCCTGCACTCACTATATCTGCTCTCTCCCGGACCCCGCATTCACTATTTCCGGTCTCCCAGGACCCTGCATTCACTATATCTGGTCTCCCCAGAACCTGCATTCACTATATTTTATTTATTTATCGAGTTTATATAGCGCCAAAGGGTTTGCTCAGCGCTGTACAATAGGGGGGGACAATACATGAAACAGTACAGTAACATCAAACAGCACACAAGGGGTAAGAGGGCCCTACTCTTTTGAGCTTACAATCTAGGAGATATATCCGCTCTCCCCGGACCCCACATTCACTATATCCGCTCTCCCCGGACCCTGCATTCACTATATCCGCTCTCCCCGGACCCCACATTCACTATATCCGCTCTCCCCGGACCCTGCATTCACTATATCCGCTCTCCCCGGACCCCACATTCACTATATCCGCTCTCCCCGGACCCCCTGCATTCACTATATCCGCTCTCCCCGGACCCCGCATTCACCATCTCCACTCTCCCCGGACCCCGCATTCACTATATCTGATCTCCCACAATACACAGAACATGGAAATGCAATTATTTTAGTAAATATAAACTGTTAAATACCTTTTCTCATCAGCAGTGTACAGCAGTCTTGTGACTTCTATCAGTGTCCAGTTGAGCACTGGTTACAGCTTATAGGAGGAGTTTTAATTCTGCTCTAAGAGGATGCAGAACCCCTGACCTCTGTCTGGACAGTGCTGATTGGCCCTGTGCTGATCACATGCACTCTTCCAAGTAAAAAGAAAACCTCTCAATACACACCAAACTGAGCATGTGCAGAGTGTCTCCACATGATATGTCTTATCAGGAGATAAGAAGGAGATACTAGAAGAAGGGAAAGATCAGAGAAGACAGGATCAAACAGCGTTTTTACACAATGCGGAGGATTAACCCCTTAGGTCCCACAGTGAGTATAACAAGCATGCTTTCCTGCATCTACAGACTGATTGTACTGCGGGGGGGTTCAGTAACACTTTAACAACTCATCATGGCCGTGTGTTTGTGATCTCGGTGCAAATGCCAAATATGTTGTATTCAGAGCCATTCCTTATCTCCTCTGATTGAATCCATTAACCTTTCCCCGAGACGGACAATTTCCTGACATTTTTCTTCATTAGCTGACAACATTCGGAGCTTGTTGAGCTCCCTGAGTGGTACTGTCTGTGTGTTTGATGATGCTTTAAAATGGGGCTTCTAACCTCCACTCTGTATCATGGCGACCTCCTGTGCCGCGTCACGCGGAAAATGTCAACACGCATGTGACCGCCAATAGCACCTGATGCTCACGTTACATGAAATCTTTCTCACATACATCTAGATCTGCCATTGCTGAGTAAATATCAGTGGAAAACAAAGCGTTTTCAAGTAGATCCAAGACCGAAATACATAACAATAGACGTGTGCAGAACGGAGAAATGTGCTTTGTTTCCGATTTGTTTAGTTACTAATTTCATTATGTTCCATTCATAACAAAATTCGTTTCGTTTCATTTCGTTTTCGAACCTGATTTGAATTTTTCCAGTGGATTCACAGTAGAATCGAAATGATCAAATCGATCGGAATTTATTGTGAAGAATAGCTGGTTCTATACTACTTGGAATTCTAATTTCAGAAGATGGTTATAGTTATTCTATTCTATTCTGTTTTGTTCTATACTATTCTATTATTTTCTGTTCTTTTCTATCATTTTTTTTCTATTCTTTTATTTTATTTTCTGTTCCCTTAATATCTATGCTATTTTATTCTTTTCTTTTATCAGCCAACAGTAAATGGCTTCAAACATGCTTGGGACAGGCATATATCTATACTCAGACAAAAAAGCTACCCCCCCCCCACAAACCTCCCCCCCCCCCACACAAAAAAACAAACACCCCCCTCCAAAGAAATACAAAACAAAAACACCAAAATAACACCAAAAAAACAGACAGACTCAATCGACCACTCAGTCTTTTTCTGCCGTCACTTTTCTATGTTTCTATGTGTCTGTTTATTTTCTATTCTATTCTATTTTATTCTTTTCGTTTCTATTCTGTTTTATTCTGTGTAACGGAACCGTCCTAGTCTGCGCTTGGGTATTTCCGTTATAATACCGCTTCCCCGTCCGAACACCGACCACGGACACCACCGCTGACCATACATGACTAGACGATACCAGTCTTGAAATAAATCAGAAAATATGTTATTTGAACAGAGATACAAGATATATACACTCAAGAGAACAATTCCCCTTCCCTGCATAAGTACACAGGGTGGGCAAGCCACATCTAGCAACAAGAGACACATCAGCAGACACCCCCCCACCAAGCCAATACACAAACACATACATCCCATAATAGTTTGCTCCCAAGCAAGACACACAATAGAACAATGGGATGCAGCCACATGGCATTAAACAATGAACAACCCCCCAACCCAATATTAGGACAGGTTGTGAGGAGTGGACTCACCACTGGTGGTGGGACTCACCTGCCTTGTGGGCTGCAGTACCAGGGCTGGCCAGCGGGTGCTCTCAGCAGCCAGAAGCTCACTCTTGCAATCGAGTCATCACCTGAGGCTGATTGCAGGAGGTGCATTTAAGGAGTAGCCAGGCCTGCAGTCAGTGCCTTGGTGTATAGTTTCCCTTGGCCCCTGTATCCTGTTCCTGCCTGCTTGAATCCTGACTCTGCACGAACTCTGCCTGTACCTACCTCGGCTATTCCTGACTACTCTTCTGCCTGCTCCTTGTACCTTGCCTGCCCGTTTGCTACCGACCCGGCCCGCCCGACTACGTTTAGTATTGTTCTTATTGTTATCTGTTGGAGGTTTGGTTTGTTTGCACTGTGTTTATGTTTAGTCTTGCACTGCGTTTATGTATTGTTTAGTCTTTAATAAATTGTATTGTTTATACTATACCTGAAGCCTGCGTTTCCCTGTGTCAGTCCACACATCTCTGGTCATACCTGGAGCCCTGACACAGGTCACATTGTACCCCTAACAGGCACAGGGTGACTTACACATAATAGGGATATGGGGAGCTGAGACATGGGTCTCCCCACCTCTCCCGTCACATTCTGTTTTTGACTCTATTCTGTCCTATTCTTTTCTGTTTTATTCTATTTTATTCTTTTCGTTTCTATTCTGTTTTACTCTATTCTGTCCTATTCTATCCTGTGTAATCTGTTTTATTATTTTTGAAATTCGATTTTCAGAAGACGGCTATATTCTAACACTAATACACACGGTCTTTGAAGGAAATCAGCAATAGTCCGCAATATGTTTATATTTCCAGTTTGTTTTTGAATTTGATTTAGTTTTCGAATTCAATTCCAATTTCAGTTGAAATTTCCTTTAGTTTATTTTGGATTTGTTTCAATTCGTAATTCAGAAATCCAGATACATCCGAATCTCCGAACAACAAAATTTCCATCTGAATTTTGATTCGGAACGAAACGAACCGCACATGTCTAGACAACAATTCGTTTGCTGCAGAAACTGTGCATCGTAATGGATTGCTGTGGTTTTTCCACTTCTTTTTCTTCCATTTTTGCATCTTAGTGCTGCTGATCTCCTGAAGCCTCTTTCCTCCACTTTTCACCTACATGCACTTGGTCCAGCGTCGGCTCTGCAGGGGATCGGCTTCCTGGTAGTGACAGCAGTGGATCATGGCAGAACAATGTGTGTCGGCACAGCTACTCCTGGTCCCCCCACTAGGAGTGCATGTGAGAGGGTGACCCCCGCAGGAGAACAATTAGAGACAGTTGTCACCCCGTCTACGGAAATGTCTGAATGAGGACTTGAATGGCAGGATCACCAGGAATAAAAACTGAAGATTTAAAAGGACTGAAAGCAACAATTGAAATGACCGTTAAGCTGAGCTTAGGTTCCGTTGACACCTATGTACAATGGCATGCGCGGTTTTGTGTGATTCTGCATTTTTGTTTCAATGGACTGCCCTACACATGTAAATTGCACAATTAAGTGCATGACCACTTTTTCTTTTTTTATAAACCGAACGAAAATTCGACCGCCAACTTCAAACTGGGGCAGGACAGTTCACTAAGCGGTATCTTACCGCATCCGGGTTCCCCACTGACAGCTGAATGTAAAAAAATTGCTGGTAATTAAAAAATTTACAAAAAAATGCGTGGGGTCCCCCCCGTCCCTACCGAGCCCTTCAGGTCTGGTATGGATTTTGAGGGGAACACCCACAATAGAATTTTAAAAAAATGGCGTGGGAGATCCCCCCAAAATCCAACCAGACCCTTATTCGAGCATGCAGCCT